GACGAACAGATCTGTTACACTTGTTGCGTAAAATCCCAGTGAATAACTCTTGTGCACACACTTCAAAATAATAGGCAACTGTGTAAAATAAACTTACGGTCTAGATCTAAACGAGAAGCAACGTAATCTTTAGTTTGCTCTCAGCAAGTGAACTTGCATGTTAAGTTAAAAGTAACAAATCGAATGTGGTTTAGCGTGGTCTGTACTCTTATCGACAACGAGCACGCGTCATCACAGTGTTGCGGACTCACAAGGCTGCGCCTCGTGAGTCCACAACGTTTTGACCACTGTGATGACGCGTGCTCGTTGTCGATAAGAGTACAGACCACGCTAAACCACATTCGATTTGTTTTTTACCACAATATCAAAGATATCGAAAGAAATCTTTGTCAAGATTTGTTGACAATTGAGGAAACCAGTTGACCACCAATTCAACCAGTTCCGCAACAATAAAAACGTGTTGCTTAAACAAATTTAAATCCTCACTGCAACTGGATGTTTTGGCTGCTTACTAAAACAATTAAAAACATCCTAAGAAACTCACCTGCTCTTCCATTACCGCAATGCCGAGTATAGCAGTAATACGTTCTCGGCAACTCGTAAACAAAATGTGAACCACAGTTCTTTATTCTGATATTTTGATACCGATTACAACAGTGGTTGTACCAGTGATAACAGACTTTACGAGTGACCACACCTTCGGCGATTGTAGGGTGTGCAGCAGAAAGCCAAACTGGTTCATGAGTGCCGCAGTGGTTCATGGGAACACATTTCTCCGCCATCCGATCTCCGGCAGCTCCTTGGAAACGGTACCAACCTGGTACCAGGTCCCTATCGCATCTATAATTGCTGGCGTTGATCATTATGTGTCCTTGAGCGCGGTCTGCTTCACGCAGGACTCTGTGATTTTTACATCCATCCACTGTAAGTAAGGACATATCAGTTGGCTACAGTAACGACGAAACTACATTTGGTAACTAAATAGTAGTTACAAATACCAAAACCGAGTGAGTCACGAGTGATAAATGTACAGCACGCTGGAGAGTTAAAAAAAATATCCTGATTTATTAAATCCATTTTGAAATCACTGGTTATCCTTGCAATCTGATTGGCTCTCAATGGTGCGATT